ATTACAGGCAGTTAGTGGGCTTGTTGAGAATACACAAGAAAAAAGTAAGGACCTCAATGGATATTCATAATTTATCTGTTAATACATAAAAGTTTTATTCTTGTATTTTGTATATTTTTCTTTATTATTCTTTTTTCTGTAGAAATAATAGGATATTATATATAGTTGTTTATCTTTAATTAAAGTTATTCCCTAATCTTGTACTATTGTGTTATGTTATAAATAGAATATATATGCACATTCTGATTTTCTTATTTGAATAATTTAATTTCTTAAAAAACAATATAAAGATAATGTCTGATGATATAGGAAAATTAATATTCCTGATGAAAAAAAGTAAAAACGATCTTTGTTTTATATACATAAAAATATGTTACATAGGGTCTGCTTATGAATATAGAATGTTATAGTTAATGTAGACTAATTCTGTGGATAATGTTGAACTGATTAAAATTTTAGCATTTGAATTAATTGTCACATATTTGTTCAATAATATATAAATGATATTGAATTTTATGATAAATTTTTATGATAATGATAATTCTTTTTCTTACTTTTCTTTTCATATCTGTAAATAAAGCTGTATATGTTTCAAGATATAAATAATCTGTCATTTAAAGGACATGAGATTAGAGTATTATGTAAGCATGATAAATATAGTATAGCGATTAACAAAAATTTTAATAAAATAGATAATCTCACGCAAATGTTGATCAAGTGATATAAGAGAGATGATGTTTGTATTGCCAGAACCCAGCACATGAAAAAGTTATATTTCCAAGACTCTTGCACTTCCATCTTTTCATCTGCAATCAATATCTATTTTTTACTGCTTACTTTCCAATTGTATGCATTTTATACCGTTAATGTGAGATCCCTGCTTCCAGTTGAACGATACAGCGAATCAGAATCTCAAATTGGAAATAGTGGCAGCGAGGACAATTGCAACTTTGGCAATTCAAATGCAATTCCTTCCAGCAATAACAAAGAAGCTAGTGGAAAAAATCATACTTCTTCTATTCAAACCGGATACAGCCAAAATAGTAGCACTCTTAATAGTCCAGACAACGCATCGATTCAATTTACAAATGGATCAATATCCAATGGAAATTTAGAACATGTTACGACACCTGTCAAAGAATGCCATAGTAATAGTAAAGATTCCAATAAAAATAAATCTGGAAATAGTGCGAAGAAAAATAGCAATAAAAGAGCCAGAAATAGATAGAAATTTTAATGAAACACATTAGTTATCTATCTTGTATTAATTTTATTTCTTTCGTTTTTCGTATTAAACAATGCATTGCCTTTATCACACTATCCTTTATGACTAAATTCTTTTTTACGCTAATATTATATTCGATGCATTTGTTACACAAGATCTGAAATATTATCGTTATAGTGTAAATATCTATTCGTGCATACAACTGCAAGATATTTTGATCTTAACATGAAACTGTACAATGAAATTATACACATTTTGTCACAACATGAAATAAATTTGTTCCTTGTATTATATCGTACATACATAGTAATAAGCATAATTGTTACATTCCAAAAATACTTCAAAGTTTTATATTTGTAATATTTTTTACAGTATTAATTTTTGAAAAGTTATTTTTTAAAATTTAGTAAAGAAAGTATCATGAAGCAGAGGGTGGATTCACGAGATACATGTATGAATTAATAATCTTAAAATGATTGTCTTTCAACACCTTGAGAGAGAGAGAGAGAGAGAGAGAGAGAGAGAGAGAGAGAGAGAGAAGAGAGTG